TGGTGACCGTGTGAAGGATACACCCCTCCTAATCCCATCACAAAATTAAATTAGAATAAGAAAAATCGGGATCAAGGTCTAAATCCCACTGCCGGGTGGTAGCAGAAAAGTACTTATCCGAGTGCTTACCTTTGCTTTGCTTTGCTTGCTGCCTTGGTTCATCTCATCTCCTAGCCCTCTTTCCCTTTCTTTATTCAACAATCAACAGTCTTTTTCTCTCCACCATTCTCTCTTTTTGTTTTTATTTCACCAAAATTATTATTTATTAAAAAAAAAACCTCGTGTCTTATAATTCGGCCCGTAGGGTTACCCTACACAGATTGGGCCCCAGGCCCCGTTGGTTGGCCCATCTTTTCCCAAAATCATTTCTTTTTGTTCCCTTTCCCCATTCTACTTACTACTTAGCTGCTGAGCTCTCTCTCCCTCTCTCAAGTCTCCTCCACTTCTCCTTCTTCCTCTTCCTCCGTCCCTTCCTTTCCGCTCACTGCAACTCTCCTCCTTTGTCCCCTTCCTACCGCCGATTGCCTACCGACAGCTTTTTTTCTCTCCCTTCCCCTTATAAGCCCTTTGCTTCCTACTCACCCCATACAGTCTCCTCTCTCTCTGTCTCTCTGTCTCGCTACTACTCTGTTTTCCTGATCCTCTGTTTTTTCTTTCGTCTCTCCCATGGCGTTCGGCTGTATACCCAATTGTTTTAACACCCGGCGCCGCCGTGGACCCAACGGGGACAGGGTTGCGGCGGTTTCAGACGATTCCTGCTGCTGGGGAGAGGTTGAGAGTGAGGAGGAAGGGAAAGGAGGAGCAGGGGATTACGACGATTGTTCTCCGGCGAGGTACGGGTGGGACGAGATTGAGAAGCTGACCCGGAATTTCGAGTGCTTGATTGGATCCGGTGGGTTCAGCAACGTGTATTTGGCTGCCGGTTCCGCGGCGGTGAAGGTGAGCTGCTCAGGGGATTATCTCAGCCCGCTGTTCAGTCAGGAGCTTGATATCCTCCTCCGCCTCCACCACCGGCGCATTGTCAAGCTTCTGGGCTACTCCGACGATAAAGGTGTGTTCTTTTTTAAGATCTGGAGTTCTGAATTTCGATTTGGGCTTGTCCCAATTTTCACGCAAGCTAATTGAAACAATTTCTTTTTATCTTCAGGTGGCGCGCTGGTAATGGAGTATGTTCCCAATGGAACATTACAGGAGAACCTCCACGGGAGCGGCCGGCGGCCGCTCCCGTGGATCAAAAGGATGGCGATTGCGTACCAACTTGCCGAAGCAATCGATTACCTCCACTCCAACGTAGGTGACGTCCCAATCGTACACGGGGACATCAAGGCGTCCAACGTCTTGCTCGACGGGGAGCAAAGCTGCAAGCTTTGCGATTTCGGGTCGGCGAAAATGGGGTTCTCCTCCGCCGTGGCCACGGTGGGCGGGCCGAGGAGGGGAAAGAAATTGGTGATGATGGGCTCGCTGGGTTACTCCGACCCGTGTTATCTGCGTACTGGTTTGGCTTCCAAGAAGAACGACATCTACAGTTTTGGGGTGATCGTATTGGAGCTGGTGACGGGCCGGGAGGCGTTCTCAGAGGAGAAAGGGGAGGTTTTGGCGGCGGTGATTAGGAAACGCGGCGATGAAAAAGCAGGGGATTTGGCGGGATTGGTGGATCCGAAATTGGGAAGCGAGTTCGATTTGGGGGAAGTGGAGGCCATGTTCGAGATGGCGAGGAAATGTGTTGGGCTGGCGGTGAGCGTGCGGCCTTCGGCGGCGGAGATCGTGGAGAGCATGAAGGCGAGTGTGGCGTCTGCGTTCATGTGCGGGGAGGAGGGAAAGAAGAAGTTTTGAACAGAGGGATTGGTGTAAATTTGGGTTATACTCTGTTTTGCTGGGATTATACGCTGTTTTTTGGGGGATTTTTTGTGATTGGTTCACATGATTGACAATCCATATGTATAGATTCAAAAACCAACATAAAGGAATGGAAGAAAGAAAGGAAGAGGGTTAGGATTTTACTATTAGGGGATGATTGGAATAGCATGCAGTGAAAAGCTTGGCATTGTTTGCTTCCTTATTATTGGATTGAGAAGTCGGTTGTTTGTTATTCCACGTCGTTACAAATGTTGCGTAGTAGATTAGTAGTATACGTTTTGGATTTTTTGTTTGTTAATTGTCATTTAAATTTGGGGTTTCAAAATGTTTCAAAGCAAATGGGTAAGATTCGTAGTAGATTAGTAGTATACGTTTTGGATTTTTTGTTTGTTAATTGTCATTTAAATTTGGGGTTTCAAAATGTTTCAAAGCAAATGGGTAAGATTCCAAACCACATAAAAGAGTATGCATCTGAATCGAGAAAGGAAATAACGTAATAGTTTTAATTACAAATCCATTGACGGTAAAATCATATTGAAGTTTAAATCAGCAAAACTAATAATGCAAAAATAATAGTAATATATTTGACAAACCATTTATAAGCACTTATGATTTGATATCAAATTTATGGTGAAATGATTACGAAAAATGTGATTTAACCATATTATAACAGTCGATACGATAGCACAAACACAATTAGACCAAACTCATGTCAAACTGTACCTTTCTTATAGACTTGGAAGTTAGCCTGCCAGGCAAATGGCCACCTTATGATTTGTAGTTGTGTATTGGTACATTCTAGGGTTGCTCAATGAACTCAAAAAGTCCACACGCCATATGCTTTTCTCATCATAAATTCATAATATTTGTGTGACAATCAAACTCCATTAGAGAAAAAAACAGGTTCATAGAGTTCAGACGGATGGTGATAGGAGAACAACTAATACAATAACAAGTCAAACTGATAAATACAAGTCTTTTTTTGTTTTGGTCTTGAAAATGATGAATACGTAGAGTTGAAACCATCATTAATAGGCAAGAATGTACTATTGACTTCTGATGATTAATGCTTAAGGCAAGTATATGACGTAATTTCAATATCGGTTGTTCCTATATATTCGTCCGTTCATTTTATAAGAGCGAAAGGTATTTTCAAATGAACCTTTGACAAAATGGTGGATAGAATTGATATGAGATCTCGATGAGATGAATCCGACACCATAATCATTTCAACGGCTTGATCATTCGCTATCGACAAAACAGAATTCGATTCGACAATATATAAAAAGAGATGAACTCGGTAACTTTGGTGTCCGTCCGACTCCCAACCCGACCCGACCCGACCAATGCCACATGTATTATCTGTTTATCTTACATAGGGTGATGATGCAATTCTTGTGATTAATTTATTTCCCAACTTTGTGATGATGCAATTCTTAGTGACTAATTTATTTCCCAACTTGATAATCGACTGGTCCAATGTTGCTGTTTACAAACAGGGCAGGAGAACAAAGTCCAATACCTTGCCTTCCTCAATGGATACTTGACTTAGTGGAACAGAGTAATTGCCGGCCTCGTAGTTAAAAGCCCTTTTAAACTCAAATGGCGTGGAGTCAGCCGGCGATGTCACATATTTTAATGGCTTTCACGCCCCCGATCTCCCTGAAGTCAACTAGGAATTAGGATATCCATATCCCATAGCGCCTCGAAGGAAGGAAATGCACATCAGAAGTAAATGTTATCTTTACCCAATGCCCTGAAACCAAGAAAGATTCAAACTTTATGGAGGGAAAGAGGAGAATTCAAGATTGGGAACCAAAAAACAGAGCATCCGAAGAGCAACCACAACCACAACAGCACCAACCCAAAGAAGCCGGAGTCCTAACGTGGAAGTCATGTGTGTAAAACTGATAGTGGGGGTTGTTATTTGATTTAACTTATTTGTTTAACTTCATTTCCCATGGAACATGGAGCACACTTCGGAGGTGTCGTGTTGTTGTAGGCAGAAATCATGAAGGGGGGGAATGTGCTCTTCATGTGCTCTTCTTTTCTGTCAATGGAGGGAGGTGGGACAACAGAAGTTATGACTTATGACAGGGAGAGACAGAGTGGTTTCTGGTGCCAGTGTGTTTTCTGTGCTGTGAAGTGATGATGAGCAGTCGTAGGGCAGGCTTTATGTGGAGGTTTTGATGATTGGTTCCTCCAGATAGCAGCTGCCCAATTGCACTGCCTTGTCATTGCTCTCACATGGTTCACAATCCATCTGTCGATCCAACTCAACGAATAAAGGAATTCTGCTAGGTTCTTAAGGGCTAGGGTCGCCATAGATTGTCATTATTGGATTGCACGACTTTGTGGTCATAGGGTTCAAGAAAGGAGATAGGCATAACGCAGGCGTTGAGCCTTTATTTAGGTATCGTTTAAATATGTATATGCAATGGAAACAAAAGTACCAGTCTAATAGGTCAGAAACAGAAAGTTGTTTGGCTCCTAAAAAATTGAGAGAGAGGATAGAGTTTGTAGTCTGTAGATGATGTTAATTTTTCCCTTTGATATTGATCGCCTAGTTCCACCTGGTTACACCCGGGCAACACCTAGGTCTAGGTGTCAACTTTCTCCGTCGTGGTGTTCTTGATATCTAAACAGCCATAAAACCCTTAGGCAAGAGGTATTTTAACGTTGTCTAGCACCTAGGCACACCTAAGCGTAAACTTAAGCACATTATTTTGAACTATGACTCATAGGTGTTGGACGCACATGATAATTATTTTTTGATTGTAAAATAACACCAACACGTGTAAGTAATGAGCGAGATTGTTGACCATAACCTCATCCAAATGGTAGTAAGAATTATAAGTTTGCGATGAGATAAAGTTGATATCGATCATTGGATCAAATGGTTCTCTAATGTCAATCTTTAAAAGCATTCAATGATGTTTCTATAGAAAAAAATATCGCATACATCTAATGACTTAGATTCCATGTTAGACGGTTCGGAAAATGTCAAACTCATGCCGATTCGAACCCAATCAACATGCTAACCGGATTAATATAAAAGGGGCTACTTTACACCACATAGAAACTAGTGGCACACACCCTCACATGATTGCTGCATTTGGATCATGAAAACAAGGATATAAATTCCCCATTTGTGAGTTTTGTCATCTGGCCTATATCATTGCCATGCAACTTTTGTCAATAATAACTCACATGATCGAATAAATACAAATAATTGAGGTTTCCAGCAGGACCCCCAAATCAATAATGGTATGATGGTTGGTTGATTTGGAGCAGCTCTAAGTTTGTTGTATTAACAACATGGAATCATTGATAATTGATTAGATCTTGCTAATCAAATCCCACTTCCCACTACTACCCAATTCAAAGCCACAGAAACCCACTTCTCATTAGCCCTTCTCACCAACACATTTACTACCCAATTCAAAGCCACAGAAACCCACTTCTGGCCCTAGGCCAACATGGCAGTCTCAGTCTGCTGTTCCTAACCTTCTGGCAGAGTGGTGGCAAATTAACTGTAGCCGTTTCCAAGACAGTTCAAACATCGCTGGACTCTGCAAAGCAAAGCAAAGTACAATTTGCCTTTAATTTGCATAGCATTGAAAAGGGGTTGGTCCAAAATTTTGGGTGGTGGTTGAATGACTTACCTGTTGCCGTCGCAGGTAGGGCAGAGGCAAGGGTTCATGGCGACTGGGTCGAACAGTGGCGACCATTCTAGGGTCGCATTTCCATTGCACAGTTTGCAGATGTAGAACCCTTTCCCTCGGCAAACCCCACATGGCAAAGCAACTTTTTTCTGGCGGGTAAGGACGTAAAACAGAAAACCCATCTCTCAGAATTTGAAAATTCTACATATAACGGCACCAGGAGAGTGAAACGAATTTGGTACGATCGGTTGTTCGGGTTACCCGTTTGAGTTCGGCGGCGTGGCGGAGAGCGTTGACGGCGAGGGTGGAAGTCACGTTAACAGCCACCAATCCGCCGAAAACGAAAGCGGCGGTGGTCACCAAGGGGCGAATCGGCTTCTGAATCATGGTTTCAGCGTTTCAGATCGGGTTTCTGTTCGGCGGGGCTCTAATGGGAATTTCTTCGAACAGTTGGTGTGCTTGCAGTTGCAGATGGGGATGGTGCCCTACCAGTCCTACACAACAGATTAGTTACTTTCATTGCTGGAAAGATTTAATCCAGCTTGGATGAATGGGCCAGCAAGGATTGGCTGACCAGCTCTCTGGATCGAAGAGTCGACAAAGTTGTTTGCGGGTCGAGAATATCATAGAGAGCCCATTCAAGCACAGGCCCGTTTTCCGCAGTAGAGCGACAAGTAATGGGCTTCTAGCGTTTCAACCCCGGGCTATGGTTTGGAGTTTCGTTAGCCCTAAACCCATAACAGGATACCAATTACCATGTTTAAATAAAATTTTAATTACTTTTTTTTCAACCACGGGCTATTTCACTTACAGCCTGTTTGGATACAATTCCGGAAGAAATGGAAATGGAAATGGAATTCAATTTTTTATTTTTATAGAATTCCATTTCCAATTCTAGTGTTTGGTATAATTCCTACAACTATGGAAATGAATTGCACTTTTAACCATAATGAATAATGTAATATGTTTGTTTTATTTTGGGAAATGAAATATGAATGAGAGAGAAAGAGAGTAAAATGATAGTGGGTCAACATAATAATAAAAAGTATTGATGAGTCCCACTAATTCCATCTTCATTCTCTCAATTCCTATCACTTTTGATAGGAATTGTAATTCCCATATTTTAGACCCTTTGGAATTCAATTCTCAACCTTTTTATTATTCCAAACATAATATATGGAAATGGAATTGGAAATGGAATTCCAATTCCTTACTTTTTTGTCAATCCAAACAGGCTGTTAGCGGTAGGATGACAATGCGCGGGAGTTTATCATTCTCATTTTCAAATAGTCAGTGCAGTAACCCAATTTCTATACCTGCAGTTTTTGAGTAGATGTGGATAATATTCGCCCAATATATCTAATATCCTATATCTAAAACTCAACAAACCTAATAAATTATAAAACTAGATTGTGGCCCGGCCTCTTGGCCGGGAGAGTTTGATTCTCATGTTGTCATGTATAAGTGTATGTATATATTTTTGTTATGGTTCATGTTGTTGGGGTTTGAAGTAACTATTTAGTTTGGTAAGTTCTCCATTAATAATATAGGAAAGTATTTGATGTATTTGACTAACGAAGTTTTAAAAATGACGAACAACGTCAACTACACTAACATAAATACATATTTTCAAACGAAGTCGTATTGATATAAAAAAAAGTCTAAGAAGAACAATGGTAAGAGTTGTTTTACATCATACATGCATAATCAATCTTCAGTATACGATAAAATATTTCGACTTTTCCACTGCCTTTAGTGTATTCAATGATATAATGGAACAAAGTATATGTTTAGAGTGTCCTTAATAAGAAACAAACTAAATCACACACTCATGTTTCGAGTGACATTTCATGTAGAAGTCACTGTGACATTAATATAGTCGAAGCATGCAGATCTTCAACAAGCAAGTTCAACTGATAGAGCAACACATAAAAAGAGCTAAATCAAACTGAAAAGAATGCGAAAACTAAAAGCAACATACCTAATATTTTGGGATAAATCAACAGCAATAAAAGTCATTGTAGCTCGTACTCAAGTGAGAAAGACTTTGATTTAACAGTAGGTAAACAATGATATGTAGTGCTTAAGCCTTAAGAGGGAAGATGACACCTTACATTCTTTATCAATATGCATCTTAGTTTCATGTTTCTAAAAAAAATGCATCTTAGTTATAAACTTCAAAACAAAAAGGTAGTAATTCAATAATTAATATAAGAATCAATATGGATACAATATCTAATCAAGAGAAGAGGAAGCGAAAAAAACACAAATTGTTGTGTATAGATTTTGCTCACGATATTTCATATCATAAAAATTATTAACTGATAAAAGGGAAAAATAAAGGGGAAAATGCATCAATTTGATCCTAAAATGAGAGGAAATAATATCATACACTATCATACAATAATGATATATTATATCCCAAAAAATCATTAAAATAATATATCTAAACGAAAAAGTATACTAAATTGAATCCAATGTAAAAGTAACGATGAAGATATATATTATATCTACCCAAGGAATAATAAAGTAAGTCATGTTTCTTAGAGACCTCTCTTGATAGAACCACTCTATGATAAAAACCATTTCGTCAAACAATTGTATCATATGAGTTTTAACTTAAAAATTTAAGTGCTTATAATTAGCTATATATTTGAACTCATAAATGAATTAATTATACCATTTTGTATAAAAAAATTATTAACTTGAGAGTTATTTTGCTTGTTGTTAAATCATTTGAACTGAAGTATGAAAGTGCTTCAGAACTGTTACTTCATTCATCATTATTAAAAGTTACTATTTTTATTACAACGTTTAATCGTGTCTAGGCGAGCTAGGAGATAGACAAATGCCCAATGACCACCTTACGATTAACATGTTGTTGAACCTCAATAATTATAGCAAACTTTGAGAGCATCTTATAAATTTTATCACTTCTATTTGGTATAATTGATTACATCCTGAAACTGATCAATCAAGGAGTCTTTCGATACAATTTTGATAAGATGTCCCCTACTGCACAGTTAGTATGACTAAATTGTAATAAGATAATCATGTATTGAATTTTAATTGATAGCTCAAAAAATCGTACTAACTCAAGTAGAGTTTAGCTACTCAGTACTTCATATTCACATGTACATAGCTACTTCAAAGAGTTCGAATATTGATTGAGTTTGTTGAACTTTACCTAACAAAACTATGATATCAATCGCAAGATATGATGCTTTTTCGAGAAATTGTGAGAATATGTTGGAGACATCAAACCTAACATGGATACCGTTGAATTTAAGTAATAAGCAACATTCATAGTCAATAGATTATACATGAAAAAAATATTCATCATTCCCATAAGTTGGTAGGAAGCAGTGAATAATTAGGAATGGAAAGCTAGAAACATAGTTGATTTAACAAATAAATGCAAAAAATATTGGAGAAAAGAAAATAAATGCTTAGAGTGTTACATTAAACCCTCAAACAGAAAGCAAGTAATAATTAATAGTTAGTTGTGGATATTGAAATAGTTTACTAAGTTGAATACTATATATACTGGTGATTAATAATTGGACCTTAGCTTGAACATTGAATCATGTTGATAAAAATTGTTTCATTAATTACACTGCTGAAAATAAGGGGTTGTAAATGGAAGTCTTGATTGTTTTTTTTAGATTGTTAAAATAAATACATTTTTATAATACAATACATATGTTTTTATTTTTGTTCATACACAATCGTGAATTATTTGCTTGCTTTGACTAAACTATCACTCAAATTGAATGATTAAACAAATTCGAATTTTAGCATAGACTGTCGAGATAATTGGTATCAGTGTTTGTCATGTTTATTTTTCTTGAAATGTATGGTACCAATGTTCTTATGTCATCATTCAACACTTCAATTCAATGCGCAATATTCCAACCAATGATATTTGTTTTGAGATTTTAAGATTATCCTTCATTTATAAGTTAGAAAAAATTCTAAATTATTTATTAAAATATGAAAATAAAATTATCAAACACCACAAAATACTTACAGGAGACTTAGCGGGCTAACTAACCGTGATAGAAAAGTACTATGTTTTTCATAATTTTAACTTCCTCTATGTTTTGTATTAATAAAGTACAACAAATGTGTCTAGTCTAATTGGTTACAATTCTTGTCTTTGATGGAAGAGACCATTGTTCAAATCCTAGCATTGATATGTTTTTATATGAAATAAAAAATTGATTGTGTAGACGAAAATACCCTTCCTACTTTCACTCTCGTTTTATGAAATTTGAAATGGAGCAAATCAAACTCTTTAAAATGTATTATAAGTAGTGTAGAAGATTAACAAAAACACAATCATTCTCAATACAAAGCCAAAGCATCTAACCCTGAAATATTAATTTAATTTCTTAGACAATGTAGAATACTATTCAAATCATCTCTAACTCTGACACATCTAGTAAACAATAAAAACTAACAAAATATTGTTAACAAAGGGAAAATGAGTGAAAAAGTGACGACATAATTGAGAAAAAAAAATAGTCTTTAATTTGAGTGGCTACTCAATTACAGTTCAACTACTTTTTTCCTAATTACCCTCCGTCATTGAGATGTTACAATATGATCCCCTATGTTTTTTTATATATGAAGAAGTAATCTTGGTGGGGGTGGGTCTGAACAAGATATGGGAAAGGAATGCCAAAATCAAATCCGTCACATCCCTATAATTTTTTTTTGCATGTTTTACCTCTATCTGCCTCATACCCAATCAATGAAAGGATTCTTCGCGCTGACTGGGACGAGAATGATCGAGTACTCATAATTGTGAGTTTGATTGCCATCTCTATTTACGAGCCCAATCATTTATCAAATTTATATCATTCGTCACAACAAAGCTAGCTAGTATTATCACGATGGACGTTTTAGTAATTAACTAATTATATATATCAAAATGAAATAAATTTATGAGCATCATGAATGTGGGCTAAGTGTAGAGAGCACTCATACGATCACATTAAAATATGTACATTCCAATCCAATTATTGGATGATAAGAAATGTTAGTTTGTGCTATATATATCCAAATCCTTTTGTTTGTTTTTTTTTTGCTTTAATTCATTCCCTTAATCTCTTTTTTTTTAACTTGTTTTAAGAGTTCATGGAGTTTGACCAATGGGACTTTGGTTTGGTTGCATACATAATCATCACTAATAGAAAACTCTTAAGTATTCAGGAGTCCCACCGGCCCAAATTAAATAATTAACCACATCCATGCATCCTACTTTCTTGGCAGTACAATTCAGTATATATATCTCAGTCTTCGTATTTTCATTTGACTTCAAATAATTCCTTTTCTTTGCTCCAATCATATAAAAATTTGATCTAAAATTGACAAATAGTGTCCAGATTATAGGTTTTAAGGTCCACCGACACTCATGCACACGTATTCAATGTTCCATCGATTTGATATTTTGTATTATCTTTTTATGCCGCAGGTATTATTATGCTCACGTCTATATATGATATGACCACAAGTCTACT